CCCTATGCCGGATTTTCTCCGCCATGGACGCATCCTGCGCCGGCGATCCACCTCCGGCCGTATGCACATGCCCGGTATTCGCCAGCGCCGCCTCCGCGTTACCGCCCACATCATCATTATCATCAACCGGCTGAGCTTTCCTGAAATGGGACCTTCTATAATACCCCGTCGCAAACGAATCAACCATCATCGTCCCCATGGCCGACATCATCGCGACGAATCCGGCGAACGGGAAGCTTTGCCAGGGGTCCGCGGGAAGGCAGGGAGATGTGAGGCGTTTGAAGGCTTCGGGGAGGATGTGGATGAGAGCGGTGGCGAGGATTACGCCGGCCGCGAAAGACTTGATTGCGAAGAAGAGGTCGTGTTCGGGGTGGAGGAAGGCGACGGAGCGGCCTAGGATGGGGATGAGGACGCCGACGGCGCCAGCCGCAAGGATGGAGACGAGGGCGATTGATTTGAGGGAAAGGGGTTTGTCCTCGATTTCGTCTTTGGAGGTGGGGAGGCATTGGCAGGTGGTGGAGAGAGAGTGGATGGGGAGTGGGAAGAAGAGGAGGAAGAAGACTAAGTAATAAGACGGCTTCATGGTGTTTGTGTTTACGTCTGAGAGACGGCAGGACTGAGTTTTTGTTATAAGGAGGGTGTCTTGGTTTGGTTTCTGGTGGTGAGAGATTATTGGGTTCGGACATCGACACAACTTACGTTCGGTACTGTGAAATACCGAGCAGTACTGAGCTCGATACTGTGAAGTACTGAGTAAATTGGTGTGGGCCCGTGTAAATTGGTGTGGGTTGCATGCTAGGTCGACCAGGGAGATTAGTGGCCGAAGGCCGATACTTCCTGCCCCAAAAAAAAAGTGAAGTACTGAGCACCGAGCAATAGTACTGAGTAGGAGATGATGTGGCGCATTTCATTGGCTCCGAACGACGTCCGGTGACCGTATCCAATAATTTGCACTCGTTGGTGGATTTACATATAATTTTAATATTACTTTGAATAATATTTTACTATTTCAATCACAATAAAAAATATATAAACTAATATTAATCATAATTTTTATTTAATTTTAAATTTAAGATATCATAGAAATAAATATTAATCTAAATATATAAAAATTATGAGATATGGTCTTTCTTTAAATTTTATCATGGTATTTTATACATAAAAGAAAGTAGCAAGGATAAAAAATTGTAATTGTGAAGGGGAAAAAAGAGAAATATTTTTAACTAACTATAATTTATTTATAAAAAGTTTAGGGTTATCACTTAAAAACTTTTTATAAATTTAGCTTAATGTGCTTCAGTGACATGTTGAAACTTTAAGGGTGAATGAATAGCTAAAAAAGCATTGATTTTATTTTTCTTTAAATTGAAACTTTTTTGTAACTTATAAAGATAATAAATAAAGTTTTTCTGGGATTTAAATGTAGTAATAAATTTTTCTGTTTTAAACATTTTGTTTTTTATCAATTATAAGCAATTAAAAAAAATAAGTTCATAATTAACAAAAGTCTTAAATTCTATAAAAAGGTTAAAAAGATTTTATAAGATAGAAATTCGCAACAATAAAATTAAAAATTTAAATTATTATTAGATTATTAGATTATATATTCACTAAATTGATTGTCACAATATTTAGTTTTTGGGTATTTTTACGGAAGGGGAAGTGAAGTCTTTGGTGTGACACGATTGTGTTGTAAGATTTTTGCCCAAAATGTACAACCAAAGTCAAAATTGTCAGGTTGCTGAACACAATAATTTTGTAATGTTTTTTGCAAGATATATATTTTAAAATTATGAAATTATTTTTAAATGTCAGTAAAATTATTATTTTGCTGATACATTTGTATATTCGTTACTATTATGTTAGATAAATTAATAGTTTTAAACTATCTCATGGAAACATACTTGACTGTGCTGATACTTATCTTAGCTCAATTTTTTGAGAAAAAAATGTAAAATCCAAAATTATTTTAGCCTGTTATATGAACTTTTATTTCAGAGCAATGTACTAGTAGTAATTAATTTTAATTCCACGAAAAATTCAATTTTGATTATATGTGTTTTTATCTAAAATTTCATTCATAAACGACAGAGTACTGAAGTAAGGCTATTGTAGAATGATTTTATTTTTTATTTTAATATCTTAGTATTTATCAATAAGATAAATTATAATAAGAATATGATTATTTGTTACAATATGTTGGCCACAAATGAGATTTAGAGATTAAAGACTTAAGCTTTGTATAGGTGAATCCTATCGCATCAGCGACAACAAGAACGGCAGAGGATTTTGGCAGGGAAACAATACCCCAATTATCACTGTGTTGGTCAATATATAATCTGAATTTACCACCCTTTTACTTAATAAATCGGTTTGTTTGGGTTTTGAAAAATCAAATGTCAAGATTTATCATAAGTTATGCAATGTTGCTTTGAAAGATCACAACGAGTCTATCTTCTATGTTGCGAAATCCTGAAAATATATTTTTAAATAATAATAGCTATAGCTATATTTTTAGACGTCTTTATTAAATCGATAAGATACTATATAAGTATTATTATATATATATATATATATTTTATATAATATGATTAAAACTGGAGTACAGAAAAAAATAATTTGATCATTGCAAGGTTTCTCCCTAAAGGTGTTCTATTCTAAGTATGGATAGATGGACTATATCTAATCACTTCGTAGACATAATTGTTAAGGCTCCGTATTTTATCTCTTAGCAACATTCATGTGGTTGACTTGGAGTCCTCTAGTGATGCGTGTAGATTGAGGATAATGCCATCATTCTCTTAATTTCTTGCAAAGGCAAATGTAACGTGTTATTTGCTTTTTTTATTTTGTATTTCTTTTAGAAATGCAAATAGCATTAATAATAATAAACAAATTAAGACGCCTAAGACAAGCGCCTAAAACAAACCTAAAGAGTTCACTTCTCCTTAGCAAGAATAGAATGAAGGAAGGAATATCTTCTTAAGTATGATTAGAATATACTCCAGTAACACGAACTCTTTAAAGCCAAAATTAGCACATATATCCGCTAATGATTGGTTTACAACTCTTTACGTAAAGTAAGCACATAACCTATTGGAATCAAGGAAGGAATGAGATTTTCTCTCTAATGCGGTTACTAGCCTAGCAAATCTTCATAGCCGGAACCTTTGAAGGATTAGATTGTGATATGTTACGGACATAGAAAGAGAACTTATCTCCTTGCAACATAATCCGATAATCCTTGAAAGCTCTACAAATCCATTTCCAGACTAAAAGCGGAAATTATTGTACTAAGTCAACGTGAAATAATTCGCATAAAGTCTACCCTCCTACAACACTCTCTCTCTCTGGCGCCTCAATTGGGACTTAGCAGCGATCTTAGAGCTGCGGATCCACATCTAGAGAGGCCAGAGGTTCGAGTCATGTGTTGCGTTTGTGTGATGTGGGTTTTGACCTTTAAAATGCCTAAATGTCCAAAGAAAAAAAAAATTGCCACCAATTCGATTCTGAGCAAATAAGATCCATGGGCTAATAATTTATTCCAAAAGCTAGAAGAATCCTAGCCTTTTCTCACTCTTATTACAGAGCCTCCAAGAGTACCAGGCCACAATGTGGTTGATAAGATAAAGCCAATTAACATCTTAATTTAATCAAACCGATTGGAGGAGATATCCTAGAGCAAATAACAGTCACGCTGGTTAGTTCCCATTTTCTGGACCTTGATTAAAAAAATTGCTTAGAATATGGTAGATGTAGAACCAACATAAGGTGCCAAGACAATTATTGGAGCCGGCTGATAGGT